TATATAAGACAGTAATAGTTCTCAAAATTTATTAACTAGTATCATCCAATTTTAAGAACACCAAGAACATGCATTCAGTTTATGAGAAACTCGGTTAGAACGATCTCACCCACAGTATGATTGACTTATTATAATACACATACTCAAATCGCCTTTTACTTTTAGGAGTCTAGTTTCTCCAATTAGCTTTCGGCCTTCTGCACTTTAAGAGAAAAACAAATCAGTAGCATTCCAGAAAAAATTATTCAGTAACATAAATTTCAATAAATGTGAAAAAGAAAGCAATAATTCTCTTGAGGTCGGCAGTGGCTCGCTTGTTCCAAAAACCCAAAGCTCTGATACTAGAATTTGTTAGGAATTTTTACGTTCTTTTGTGTAGTTGTGTGAAAGTGGCCAATCAATCAAACAAAAATAGTAAAGAACACCAAATCTTGGTCACCCAGTTCGGCCAAATGCCTAATCTGGGGGGCTCAGAGACAAGCCCGTTCACTATGTGCAAAGTAACCCTTCAAGAGACAGTGACAACAATAAAAAAATCACAGACACCGGGTTTGATCATTGATCCAAAGGATCTCACACAAATCAACCCTTAATCAACCAAAGCACAAACACTCAAACTGTCGACCAAAACCAGACACAACAAACGACCAAAACAATCGGCCAAAGTTACTGTAGCAGGAAGGCTTTCACATCACACTTCTAAATATACAATGATTCTATGAAAAACCAAAAGAATCAAAAAACCTAAAAGAAGAAGGAGATGAAGTTTTCTCGAAGAGAACTCAAAGCCCAGAGAGAGAAAAACTTTGAAGTAAAAAACGTGACTTACTGAAAAGCCAATGGACCATCCCTTGATAAACACAATTGAAAAATCAGATTGCATTTCAACCATAGATCTGTTATGGACGACCAGGATCTGTTTCAAAGAAGCATAACTCGCGTGAAGCTCGACTGGCCAATTGGGGGTTGCCACTTGGGCCATCCACTTCCAAGAGACCCATTTGCCCTTAATATAGTTGTCAATGAATTGAGAAACATGTTTTTACAGTTACCATCTCATATTTAGTAACTCTTATAAGAATTATTCTTGAGGTACACAACCCCTTACTCCTTATGTACCCCTAGAATAACCCCTCTTATAGCCAATTACACAAAACATATGTAGACCTAAATGGTATGGTCACCTATCATCTAGTAGTCAACTATGTTCAAGTCCATGTCTCAAAGCTTTAACTTAGATCTACAAGCCGTTTCAAATGAAAGGCATCAAGCTCGTATACTTATCAAGCACCAAGCATTTTCAAGCTAGAAGGACTCAATTCGTGATCCAAATTAATTAGAAAATCATAAACCAACCGAAAAAGAACAAAAATAAGAAATTACGAAACGGTACTTAACTTTCAACTCAAATGTTGAATTTTCACGAACTAGGACAATCCAAAAGAATTTTTCGATTCTACACATTTTTGTCGGGTGACAACCATCAAAATTTTGGCATCAAATTCCCTCAATATAGGGGTCCATTTTAGCGTTTTCTGCTTTCAGTTAGTTTAAGGTATTTTTATCATTTTAACAATTTTTTAGTTTTACTTAGATTTGCCTACCTAATTAGGATTTTAATTTGATTAAAATTTGTTTTGAGTCTTTAACTATGTGAAAGGGTTTATAAACTCTACAGTCATTTTGATTCATAATAATTCAATTTTCCTGTTGAAAATAAATAATTCTCACGTTCGTTCGGACGAAATTCGAGCAACACCCATTTTTGTGCTACAAACAAGAATCTTTTATAGTACTAGTCTATGTCACTTGCGTTGCACAAGTTTTGTATTTACTTTGTTGTTATTAGTGTAGAATTTGTAGATTTTACAAAAAGTATTTGAAGATATGATATGTATGCTTGATTGTCATTCTTTTGTCCACTGTATATTGTATGTAAACAATATTTTATTTTTATTTTCATAAATAAATATAATCAATGATGTAATGATTTTGTGAAATTAGGTTGTATATGTTTATATGCGTAAGTGAAAAGTTAATTACTTATTGATTTGTATATTTCTGTTTAGATTAAAGTAGATGAAGAATTTTTTTTTTTTTTAAATTTGATATTGCAAATAAGTTGTAACTTGAATTTAGCAAAATGTTTTTCTTTAACAAGTATATTTGTAGCACTACTTGTGCTCGAGGTGGAGTCTTGATTAGAATATGATATTTGGATGGATTTTCCATTTAGATTAGTGTAGGTAAGCCCTTTCAAAGCTCTCGTAACTATTATGAATACAAACAAAAAGGATGTTATGCCTAGAGGGACAAAAAATGGATAGCTCGATTCCAAGTAGATGTAGAAGTTAAAATAGAGATGGACAATTGTTAAGTGAAAACATGCTATACATTAAAAAAAAAAAAAAAATCATAATGCTTTATATAGCAAAAATCCTAGAAAATTTTGGGAAAATTAAAAAATACTAAAAAAAAGATTTTTTTTTTTCAAAATGGAAAAAAATAAAAATAAAATCAAGATAATGACTAAAATTGAAAGTTCTAATCTTATCCTCCAACAAATGGAATTCAAATCCGACTTAAATTCATCGAGATATAATCAAAATAGAACTTACTAAAAAAAGAAACAACGCATAAATGAAGGAATTTGCCCAAATTGGTGGGGTCAGCAGCAAAGCTGTTGAGTTTTGTTCATTGGCGTGTTTTTCAATTAAATTTGACTAAAATTTCATTAAAAACTAACAATCCTAAAATTTTTCCAAAAACTGAGAATTTGAGAAGAAAAGCATGTCTCAAGAAGAAATGAGAAATGCAAATTCTTAGGTTAATTCCGCGCAGTGCGAAAACCATGGGGCTCCGCACTACTTAGAGACATATGAAGACACTCTGCCCAACATGGTCTTCGCGGCAGGCAGGGCGGAGACGATGGGTCTCCACGCAGCACTCCGCCCAGCATGAAGACCATCTCCAGATCTTTTTACCATTCAAAATTGGTCTCCTTCGTCTTCTTGAGTGAAATGAGGAATTTGGTATGAATGTTTCATCCATTTTTCGAACATTGATGGAACTGAAACTCATGAAAAAGCACCAATACGTGAACAACCACTTATAAGAACCAATTTCATATTGGGCTATTTTCAGGTATGAATATTTCCTCAATTTTTCATTTTTAATATGATTTTATGCAAAAAAAAATTTAGAGATATTTGTGCCAACAAGAATTATACCAATATGGTGGGCTTGTTTAGACCTTTAATTTTATTCATGTTTCTTGTATGTTGTGATTAAGTTTTGGAACTCAATTTTCTCTTCATATTTTTCATTGTGGCTTTGAATTACATGAAAAATACTCAACAATTCAACTTTCTTCTTGCAATTGCAAATTTGAAAAAATAATATTTCTTTGTTTATTTTTCGTGATGTAACTTTATAAGCAAATTGGGAAAAAATATGTAATGAAGTGTTCTAAGTGTGAGATGTTGAGCGGGTACATATGGGCTTATATAAGCAAACATGGAATAAATAACACCATAGGTGATTTTGAATTTGATTTACGTCTAGTTTTTGTTGTAAATAGGATTTAATCCTGTTTGAGGCTGCACAAGATTATTCATTCTCACGAAACCTAGACTTGTTCCTATGATGAAATTGTGGTAGCAAGCAAACTATTATTTTTTCCCCAAAAATGAAATACCACAATTGTCTTCTACGTATGCTCTATTTATTGTTTGAGAGATTTTTCTTCTTGATTTAAAAAAAAAATCTCAGCAACGTGTGATTCTTTGGATTCTAATTAATGTTGAGCTAATAATTGGAAGCAAAGATGACAATTTAATAGAAATTACTGTCAAAAATTAGATATTTAAGTATCTGCTTGCTGAAAATATTTAAATGTTTTGTTAATTGCAATATTAGTGTAATAAAATAAATATTTTGTGATATCATTGAAGTCTTAGCAAATCGGTACTATTTTGCAATTTTACATCAAACAGAACATGGTAGAGTCATAAAAGATCGTGATACTTTTATTGTAATTAATATATGGTAGTGTTTTTGCATGTTTTTCCATCATGTAAATTGCATTTACTTGGTTGAGATTGTGATATTTGGAGAGGCGCTCAGACCCTGATCAATAGAAGACACATCCCGCGGTTTAATTGGTCTGTGTGAAGAGGGACCGGATCACAGACCCAAGAAATAGTCGTCGAAGGCGGACACCTTGATTAAAAAATAAAAAATAAAAAAAAAATACAAAGGTACCGTTATGGTAAACAAAATTGCTTACTCGTATCTTTGATGTGTTCTGTCATCCTTCCTTTCATGATACTTCCAATAAAAGGTGTGCAGTATTTACATGTACCTCTTCTGATTAATACAGTATGTAAATGTAGAATTTTAAATATAAATTGTACATAGCTAAAAATAGCTTAGATCCGTGCTCAGATTGAAGTGGTGAATTTCATATAGATTAGATTGGCTGTCCTGTTTAGATTGAATTTAATCTACTGGATCCTACTTGAAAATGAACAATTTCTTTTATTCCTACAACCACCACCATGTCACTTTGTTTTAATTTAATCTTATACCCTTTAATTACTATCTGTTTGCCAATAATTGTTTATGAATTCATTTTATTGTTTATGAATTCATTTTAGTCCTACAGAGTCACCACCGCCTAATCCCCTATAATCATTCTTTTTTGCACGACATTTTTAACCAATTGTCAATAATTTAACCATAAGAAAAAGAAAAAAGATATTATATATATATATATATATAGTACATGTCAATAGAAAGACTAATACATCCATTACTGTAAAAAATATGTTATTGTTTGTTTGACGATTTGTTGTTTCTTTCAGGATAAATAAATAGTAAATGCAGTACTCCCTCCTTTAAGAGAGGAAGGATATTCGCATTTCTGTCTTGCGTCAGTTTGGAATGAGGAAAAACTGGGTACAAGAGCAAAGTCATGCACAAGATGTTGACATCAGCCATACACAAAACCCCATCATATAGAAATTACAATCTGAACAATACATAGCAAACATTTATCATCTTATATACAGATACATTTTCTTTAAATATGGCTGCCGTTTATTTTTCAGAAAATTATCCATCGACACAAAATACATGTCACGCACCTCATTATGTACTCTGCTTTTCCCATTAGTTCTCTTGATGAGTATAACAAATGTAGGGGTTTCGGTCAATCTTCAGCTTTAAAGAAAGAATGAACAAATAGTGCAGAAATCTTCCTCGAAATCGCTTGGCAGAAACAGAACGACGAAAAAGAGTCAATGTCATGGCCATTACTCAGATATATTCAAAAAGGCCACCCGTGTGATTGAATCCACAAGATACTTCCAATGCTTTTACGTTCTTGTTGAAGTCGAGCAAAGTAGGTTCCACGTAGTCAACATCATCACCATGACCCTGAATAGAAATGCAATTTAATTCAGTTGGAGATAGCCATTGCTAACACAAAGATTATAAAATCCTGAGCAAGCAATTTGTCCAATGCAAAGATAAGGGACAATTCACAAGGACTGAGAAGACGATAAATCGATATTTTAAAATGAGCAAATGGACAACATATGTTTAAACACAAATAAAAAATTTTAAGCACGTTTTCTGATAGTGCATGAAACCCAGTACAAAAAACTAATGTGCGTATGTTTAGTAAGTAGTACTTAGATCTTGGTCGTAATTTTAATTTCCATTTCTTATATAATATCATCAAGTATAATCTAATCCACTATGCCAAACATACTATTTGTTAGATTTCTGCAGATATTTGGAGTTACTAACCAATTACTTACCATCGTTTCTGGATAGACAGACACAATATCATTCTTCGACCAGTACCAGATAAAAGTATAGATGGAATATCAAACAACTTCAGCCACACAATGTAAAAGGATATAAACAAACCAATTGTCCGCCTGGAGAGTGTCCATCTTCTGAAAATGTTCCATGTGAACCACCCCAGCCCCAAGTGTATATATTGCCCCCTAGATGTCAGCAATTAATTTGAGTCACATCAGAAAATAAAGAATGAATGCAAAATTACTAAAAGTATAGCACACTTAAATTTCAATCTCAAAATCGGAATATCAAATGTTAGAATGATTTGGACCTGCAGTTTTAATTGAGTAACAAAAGCCTAGTATAAATAACAATTGATGTTAGACTTGTATGGTACCACTTTATCATCTTCAAGACATCTAAGCATACTTTTATCAACAATAAGTTGGGCCAATAAGGACAAAGCCTGCAAGGAACTTACTAAGTTTATTTCTGTTTCAGTTTCCATAAATAGTTTCTACTTGCACTATCTTGTGTATAGGTACTAGCAAATTTTTCTGATTCCAAATTAGTTTCTTCTGTATTTATCTTTTTATAGTTGTGGTTGCTAAGGAACTATTTGCTTTACACCTTCCAGCAGGTGTAGCACTGAATCTGAGTGGCGAATAGGATTGAATTAACTGACTCCAAATTAATCTAGAATAAGGCTTAGGTTGTTGTTCTTGATCTTCCATTGTTATGACAGGAAATAAAAATTGGTAAACAACTTTCCGTGTTTATTTTCTCCTCTAAATATAGATTATAAGTGTCTCAATTTGATAATTTATCATATTGGTGATATGGAGATCTCATATCCTTATTCTTTACTTTTGATGCTCTAGTGCACTCAGACCCGATCCGAGCTTTCTTATGAATTTATGACTAGGTCCTGGGTTACCTGTAGAATGAGTTCTGTCAGGTGGCACAGCTCACTAGACCATATGAGGGCACTTAAAATAAATAAATTAATTAATAAATATTCTCCAATTAGAAGATGTAGAAAAAATTTCTTCAAGACCACATGAGATTCACCTTGTAAGGATGCCTATTAAAGAAGTGTTTCGTAATTATGACTACAATCAGATTCAGGGGATTGGTTTATTTCAAGGAAGTGAGTGCATATCAGGCCAAATACATCTCGAACTTGGTGCATTTGACGAGTGTTGTTAAGTTCCAAAATGCATTAAAACTTTGACTTAATTTGTACAATGTACACATACATCCATAGTAGGCAAATAAATAAATGCTTCTAAGTAATTAGGAAAGGAACACCACAAATTGAAAAAAGAGCGCAACAATCATAAAAAAAGCTTATCAATGAAAAGGGTATATGACAGTATTCCCATCACATAATTCTTAAAAAGAGATCACTTTACTAGACCAGAATGTACGCAATTTGAAGAAATGATGGCTACATTTAGAATATAAAGTAATCACATTCAGGATTTGAAGTGCACAAAGACTTCTGTTGAAGCTACTTAAGAACAAAAGAAAAGCACAGGAAAGTAGTTTCATGTGCTAATGCATACAAAAAACGATTCAAAATGTACTTCAGAACACTATATGTCACACTTCATCTTTTATTTGTTTAGGTAAGGGCAGAGGATTATCATCAAATGGGTATTATTTAAGATAGATCAGAAGTCACATGTTACTTATGTATATTTGAAGTCATCCAAGACGCAAGAACAAAAATATGTGAATTTATAGGTAAAAATATTCATGCCAAAACAGTTACCAGAAACTGCTGCTGTATGCTTCCAACCACAGGCCACCTGTTAAAACAAAAATGTATTAACAAATATGAAAGAGAAAGATAAAATAAATATTAAAAAAATGTAGTCAAATTTACGGCATTGAACTTCTTTTCTGTTATTGTCACATGCCCATCGCGAGGTGGACAAGGAGATAGATGGAACATTGAATCACAATTTTCTAACATATATTACAGCAGAACACCACTCAAAAGTAAGAAACCTTGTCTACAAATTCTTAATAGAGGCATTGCCAACCTTACTAACAGGTTCCCCCAAAAATGGACCTTCAACTCTTTCAGGTGTATGAGCAACACCTGAATAGCTGTGATAAAGAAATATGTCAATCAACTGAAGTACCAATAACCTACCATGAAACATACTAACAAACCAAAACAATAAGTTGCCTTCATGTATTTAATTCAAATTAGCAGATGTGAAAGGCATATACCCAATGCCAAGACAGCCATTCTCATTGGAGCCCCATGTGTACAAATCTCCACCATCTACATGATTAAAGGACATCAAATACAAAAATTAACTTCTCAAAATCAGCTGAGATTCAAAAATTATGCAAGAACACCTTAGAGATATGCAGGTAAGTAAGAGACCTATAAGTTAAACTATGCAAGACAAGTTCGAAAAGAAGGCCTTACAGATGTAAATAAGTACGAGAACAATAAGTTAATGAAGAGTAAAGACACATTCAAATAATTTTTTTTCATTCCATGATAAGTGGTTCGAGGAATACAAGGGGAAGAAAAATATTGACAAATCAGGGGTTTCAAAATCTCAAATTCCTCATTTTGATGATTGTACACTTGATGAACCAGTATATGAGATGGGTGGGATTGAAAATATGGTGCCAAGTCTGGACAAGATTCATTAGGCATAGTTATTAAACATAAAGAGCCAGGGTGAAATGATTTCCACTTCCTATCTGAGACTAATGACAGACTAATGATTTGAATGTTATAGACGAGGATTTGCAAGGTTAGAATTTCATGATCAACGACCCCAGTAGGAAATGTACTGATGTTGGTCACATTTTGTTACAAAGAGACATGTTGCAGGGTTATCCAACGGTTGGCAAACTTGTGAATATCCTTAATGTCTTTTTTATGGAAAAAGCTAGTGCAATAGAATTATACTTAGGAATCATGCCAATTCAGGACTTGTTTGAGCCCTATTAAATTGGAAAGTGCATTTTGAAATAGTAGATTAACGGATAATGTGGTTAAAAAATAAGGAAAAATTTTGAATTTACGTGTAATATTATTTTAATAAAGATAGAAGTTGAAAAGGAGAGAAAAAAATGTATTTTCAAAAAAATGGAAATCAAACAAGTTCTTAATCATTGGGGTATATTGTAACAATAAATCTACATATTTCGATGTTGAGAGAATTTTACTAAGAGCAGCTCAAACTGGGAATTCTTATTTAGATTACAACAATATAGTGATTGAGATTTATGCCTTCTTCACAGAGAAATATGGAGCTTGAGTGCATTGTTCTAGTTTACAACATGAACCCATTGAAGATAAACATTCATGATGCTTTTTGAGGTAGATTAAAATAAAGGCTTATTCTTTGTTGGGTAAGTCTGCCAACAAATTTTTTTATTGACATGAAGTAATGCCGCCACAAGACACTGGATGAAAATATGGCACAAGATTCGAGGACGATGATTCGTCAATCTGGAGAGAATGATGAAGATGAGATATGGATATGACGTAGACCAGAGGCGGATGGCTTCAATTATAATATTATGTCATCTTTTTAATTAAGAACTTCTATTAAATACTCATTAATAGGTGTTCTTTTCATTAATATCAAGAGTCTTGGGACTCGGAGCCAATTTCAATTGATTGGCAATTAGGTTTTCGCTCTATTAAAGCTATGCGGCTGTAGTAGTGTTTTGTTGGCTTTGTTTTATTAAAAAAATATATATATATATTGTGAGATTTTTCTCCAATTTTGATCCAAATGGTATTCATGCACAGATCAAAGATTTGTCTATCACGTGTTATTGTTCTTGTGCGCTTCTGTCTGCATCAAACTCCATTTTAAGTTCAGGATGCCTAGGTATTACAACTTTATAATTCTTCTGAAGCTATCTATATTGGAGGAAAGAAAAGACTAAGTTGTGGCATCATAATGCTAAGAAATCAACTTCATGATAAAGACAGATCAAGTTATAATATTGAACCAGATAAGAGATTACTTGTAATAACACAGGTGTGATAACCACCGCATGCAACCTCTTTTGAAAATGGTAGCGAGCTGATCATAGATGGTGTAGTAGCATTGTTTGCTTTGCCAAAAAACTGTGTTGTTTACACAAGAAAACAAAAGTCAAACATCAGTCTGATAAATAATATCTCACAACAGTACCTATAAAATGAAGTTTCATAGCATTGCTTAAACTTGAAAGTTTCACATATAACCTACCATTTTCTCTAATGCTCTTTCTCCAAAAAAATATACAGCACCATTCTCTGCAAAATTCACACATATATAATGCTGGAAATAAATAGTTATAGCATGCAGGTATATTGATCAGATCAGCTGGAAAACCGTAAATGACAAACCAGAAATGCAGGCAGAATGGAGCATCCCAGCAGAAATACTTTTGACCTATATTTTCATAAATAGTTTTCAAGAAGAATAAAAAAAAAAAATTAGCATCTCTGTAAATTTGAGAGTTTCCTTGAAAACGAATTGGGAGCTAAATGATGAAAAAGATGCTTCTACAAGTGAAATACCTTGACTCCCTCAAGTTCTTTGATAAGCCGTGGTGTATATTCACTGCATTTGGAAGCAGCAGGGAAAGATAAATACAGAATTGAGCATTAGTAAGAAGAAAAACATATTGTAGTAAACTTCATAAAAGTCAGTAACAGTATATTCGACACGGTAGTTTTTCTTTTTACTTCTGTAAAAGTAAAAATATGAGCAGATTTGGTTTTGCATCTGGTAATAAATAGTGTTGGTGAAGAAGAAGCTTTCAACTAGAAGCTGAATTCTTGGGGTCTATAATTCTAATCTTCAATTGTGTTCACTCAAGCAGTAGAAATAATATGACGAATATTTTGAATAGGACTTAGTTTTGAAATCCAATACATCAATTGTTTAGTTTTGAAATCCAATACATCAATTGTTTCCATCAAAGTAGAACCTGTTTCCAGATGTATCTACCCGATAACAAAAAGATAAAGGCAGAAGGGGGGAGAGGGGGAAGAGAAAAGGACAACTCATGATCATAAAATGTGAGTTTTCAACACAATTGGTAATATTAAGCAAAAGAAAAGTTTACATTAGATGACCTAAACTATACGCAAAATACAAATCAGCCAAGTCCAAACAAACCCAAGAAAATCAGCATATAGATATTTAAAGTTTTAGTATTTACAAGGGCACTAAATTTATTTATCTTATTAAAAATGACCTATAAATCAATATTAAGTTATACGCCAATTCTTTAATAAGCACTTTTTCTTTTATATTTTGAGCTTCAGAGTAAATTTCTTTCTAACACAATATCACCTATTTGTCATCTCTTTTATCTAAAACTTATTAATAAATTATTATACTTTACTAGTGGGATAGCCAAGCAGAGCCTTGCCCAGAAAGGAAGCCCTTTGGTGAAACAATTAGGCTTGAGGGTGGGCCATGTTGAACTACCATGTGCTTATTTTTTAATTTAATGTAGGCTCGGCCTAGCAACGATCTTATTCGACATAGGTAATTGTACTCAGCTTGATGTTGGGCCAGCCAACCATAGATCCATGTAATCTCTATTAGAATATAGTGTGGATTCACACAAGCCTAGTCCAAGATGCCTAATTGAAGGACACCAATCCGCATTTCTCTTGTTCCTAAAATATGGTAAAACACTCACTTTTCATGTCCCCATTATTTTGCTCTTGTTTAGTTTTTCAAAAAAACATAGTAGAAAATTACAGAAGTAATCTTTGACAATATTTTTGACTTCTTTTCAAGAATGAAAAATGTGCAAGAAAGGTCAGGAACCATATTAGCCATAAATAAAGTTCCCTTTTACTCATCTTAAATTTTTAAAGGAGATGCTTATTGAGTATACTAACAGAAAAGGCAATGGTCATTAGACCAAGCAACATCATCTCATATTACTAAGAAATAAGAAGCACATTAATGGACAAAAGATATCCAACACCTATTAATTGCATATAAAAAATGTAGTGGGGTGGACAAATGGAAATGAATAAAAAATTTCCTTAAATGGTAATATTGAAATAATTATGAGCTATAGAAGAATGTGAGGGACTATAAACCAACATAAACTTGAACCTGCTACTTTTCAGAAATCCCAAAATGCTTGATTCATGTCCATGACCAAGTCTTCCCAATTCTCCTCCTCCCCAACTCAAGGGTTCACCTCCATCTGGGAATAAGGTGAACATAAAATACAGTGAAAAACAGTGAACCAGTGCAAAAGTAATTCCACATGACGCTGAAGAATGATTATTAAGCCAAAATAGAGAATGCGAGAAATGCTTCCAGATTAAGATTTTGACCTGTAACAGCAATTGAGTGTTCAAATCCCAGGGATGCCGTTGAAATTGTGACTCCATTCAAGCATTCAACTTTACTAGGTAAAGGAACGACCTGTTCTGCCTCTGCAGACCAGGACCGAAATTGAGCGATGAAAATTATGTGTTGAATTTTATGGCCGTAGATCCAAACTCTAAAACACGTATTTCAAGAGCATAATTATCATAACTTCAGTGACATGATGCGCTTCATCTAACATGTAAAATATCTTTCCCATATAACCACATTTGTATTGGTACAGCTGAACGTTATGTTAAACCAATGTATTAATGAACAATTTATTTAACAGTGACGAGTAACCAAATTGAATCGCTCATCCTCTTTTCCAAAATCTCTCGAGTATCAACAATGATAACAGTGATGATGTCATAAAATTAACTGCATAAATAATATTATTGTCACGCAAATCCTACAGTTACAGATTAAAAAAGTGACTTAAAAATATAATTTCTAATAGAGAGAACAAGAAAATGACTAATGACTAAGAAATGTAGATCCTGGGACTAGTAATTACTTTTTCCAAGGCCTAGTTGTCCATTGGCATTTTTTCCCCACATATAGAGCTCCCCATCCACTACAAAAGGGAAGAAAAACATTATAAGATCAACAATACACATAAAAGAGTAAGGCTCAGAACTATAAGAGTCAAATAGCTAAAATAAAAATTATACATATCAAGTAAAGAAGACAATAGCAATCGAAAGAATACATCTTATTAACAAGTTAAAAAGAATAATTGAAGCAAGGGTAGTCAATTGTTGTATCATAGGTGATACATTAGTCAGGAAAAAAATTCAGCTGTGCATGAGTATCACATGGTACTTGTTCGTGTCAAATATTATTGATTGCTCTAGGTCTGTCATCGGAAAGAGAGAAAATCTGGATGATGGGATAGAAGAAAATAGAAACTGTGCAGCCATGGAAAAAATAGTATACTCTGGGCTGAGAGGATACTTCTTCAACCATGTCATACACAAGTTCACTGTCATCATGATGAAAACTAAGTCTGGATTATAAAGACTTTGGAACCAGAACCACACGAACCATGCTGATATCCTACAAGTCATTGTGTCTCATAGCTCTCCCGATCGGATATTGGAACACCATTACAAGGCTCCTCTAAGGGAGATTAAGGCCCTATTTGAGCTACATTCTTCCAAAAAATATATATTCTTAAAAAGTGATTTGACATCATTTCAACTACACATTTTTCAATAAAATAATATTACACGCAAATTCAAAACTTTTTCTCATTTTTTAACCACACATTCTCCATCATTCTACTCTTCCAAAATACATTTTTCAAAATAATGTGGCTCAAACACAAACTAATACCATCAACACAGAGCTCTGGGATTCTATTCGAATTTGGTTTATTCTTAAGTTTGCAAATTCTTTCTTTAGTCATTTATTGCTGGTTTATAATGACTATGCATTACTTATCTAAAAAAATTGGTGCCTATTTAGCTTTACAAGACATGGGTTTTTTCACTGGGCTATTCAGCCTACTTCTATAATTGCCATTTCAGATATTCAGGATCTTAGTCTGCGTGACAAATTTGATAATTGCACAATCCTAGCTTAAAATCATGAGAGCAGTGGATACCTCTATTGCAATTTGGGGAGTGATTCCACTTAGTTCTGCAGGTGAAATTAACGATGAGGAATGTACCGGATACATGTTGAGGTAGGAGATTCATTTTTGTACGTCATATTATGTGGATATATTTATAGTGTAAGTTTGTAACTATAAAGGGAATTTTAGTTCACAATTCTATAGAAGGATTATATAATCACAATTATGATTGACGGCAGAAATTAGAATGCTAAAGACATTTTGAAAATGATGCTAAAAACCATAATCTACTTAGCCAGACAAGAAATGAAAATCTATGCAGAAATGAAGCTTGAACATGGTTCTAGTAAGAAACCTGTGATTGCAGCAGAATGATAATAGCCAGCCGAAATCTTCATGACTTCTTTAGGAAGTCCTGAAACTCTTAGAGGCTCCTAAAATAATTATTCCAAGTGAACAAAATGCTCAGAAAGTACAGCTTGTTAACAAAAGCCAGTAAGATGATCCAATATTTTGAAAATTAAATAGTTCAGTATATAACATGAAACAAATTTGAATAGCGCCATTTTAGCCACAGAATTGAAAGAAGAAAAGCAGGCTAATCGAGCAGAAGATTGATGATTTTGCATTTTATTCCTTTCCCACCTTCAACAAAACCATTTAATAGCCCAAAGTAAAAACTCATCCCATACAAAATCCTGCTTGTTACGCTAGGGAAAAAAAATAGTGTGTGCAATATCTACATGACTTGAATGCTGCTATGAGTAGAAATATCAATTTGTCCCTCCCACGCATTGAGTATTGTCCCCACGCATCAAATGAAAATGATCCAGTGAGCTTTAAGAAGTTGAAGGATGTAATATCTTGCGAGGTTCTTTCTACTTTTGATCTTTGTAGCGACTAGTTCGTTGCTACAATTACAGTGTAATTTCACAGGTACTTTTCTTCAGATTTTCAGGTAAATGCACAGTTCTCTCTCTCTCTTGGATGTTGAGTTTTTTCAACATAATAATCGCAGATAACGCTCCCTGGTAGCACATTCAGCTTGGATGTATAGGAGAATACTACCATGATTGAAAATATCAATTCTATTAATGCTCCTGTGCCCTGCCTTTTTTCATTGGACGAGTTAGCTCTTCCCAGCCAAAAAAGAAAAAGTACATCTTAGAAAAAATCTGAAATAACCAAGTTATAAATAATGTCTCTCTAAGCTATAACATACAAGTAATTTGACCAACAGGGAGGGCTACAGTCTGATGTCGATTGTCACTAGTGACATTGCAATTAACAATCAGCCACAGCTGACCTTAGCATTTACTAATATGCAGGGGGGGGGGGGGGTACACTGTGCAATAAAATGCTTATTGAAAATAAACCACTATGCTTGCAAAATGAAATATGGCTGAAAAAGCAAGTAAAGTTATTGGCAAATGACTGCACCTTCAAATATGAAATATGTATGCTCATTGCATATACTTTACAGAACATTTAAATATGAATCAAGCAACAAGCAGACATTTGCTCCTGAACATTTAAATATGAATCAAGCAATAAGCAGACATTTGCTCCTGAATCCATTAAAGGCATTAGAACCAAAAGCAAGAGATAAAAGAGTTCAATATTTTGAAAACTCAAATGCCATTGGACCATCAAACAACAATTTCACAGAATTAGTGTAGTACATGGATACACGTCCCATTGAACTTACAGCCATATAATTAAGCATGATCATATAACAATCAAGCATTTACTTCTGAATCCTTAAAAAAATCAAAGCTAAAGAACTAGAAAGAGAATGAATATATAGAAAACTCAAAATGCCAATGGACCATCAAACTAATGCTCCAAAAAATAAGAGAAACAACAATGAAAATGTTTGAGGTAGCGTACAGTTGTATAACTTTTATAATCTGATATTCCTAGCTGTCCAAAATCATTGAGACCAGTTGCATACACATTTCCATTTTCTGCCAAAAGAGGATGATTAATTTATGAACCTAAGCAAATACACAGAGAATCTTCAATAACTTGACAGTTACATAAAATATCGAACTAGATGTCCTTTCATAACAGCCACTTTCATCTTTCAAGTGAATTGATTTTAAATTATTGAAAAACCATAAACAGTTAATTTCTTTTTTTTTCCTCTAAATTTTCTACAATCCCTTATCATTACCAATCTACAAAATTGTCTTTCGGCTTCATAATTTTTTTCTCTTTGATGCTTATATGTGTGATCCATACTTGACCTCTCATATGGATACGACAACCTTTCATGTTCTTCCAAAATGATAGAAACGCTGATAATCAAGAAGCATACAAGGATTGAACATCCAGTACGCTTACTGAGTGAAACAAAATAACTCAACATGATAGAACTAAAAGAATATATTATTCTGCGGACTGCTGAGTATTCTCAATACTCCAGGAAACTAATGTTCCTAAAATTATTTCTCAAATTTTATATCTTTAGATTAGCTTATACGAAATTCGAGTTCAAAAGCTTCAGGTTCATTAAAGCTTGCCAAGTTCCTAAAATGTCCCAGTCTCACCAACCAAAAGATAAGGATAAAAATAAAAGAAATTATACCCTTACATAAAGGCAAATTGACATTTCATCCGATTCAAAAGACAACAATTGTGATATTTAAGTAAAAGCAAAAAAAACCATATACACCGACATTAAGAAAACTCATAAACCCAGAATCAATTCAATAATTAATTTAAAAAATAACCTATCAAAAAATTAAGAATTAGCATTTCCACAAAAATCAATTACAAAAAAGGGAAAACTAGAAGAATGTTGAGTTCACCAGTGAGGAAAAGAGTGTGAGCACCACCACAAGCTATCTCCTTAACACTCTGATTATCAAAAGCAGATGAAAAAAGAGGCTTAGGTCTCCACTGAGACTGTAAATTCCCCAATCCCAGCCTCCCATAATCACCGTTTCCCCATAACGCCACGAATTTCTTGCCTTTGTTCAATTTTCCGAATTGTTTCTCTTCTTCATTCCCAAATTTAACCGAAACCAATCTCCTAAAACTCGATCCAAAAGCAGATTTTGCTTTCTTAGCCAAATTTTCTGCTGAAGAAGATGATGATAATGATGTGAGTTTCTTCACGCAAGCATAAGTTCTTGGCATCGTCATGCTCGGAATTATGGGGATTCCAAATCAGGTTCATGAGAAAATGAAGGATTCTGCTTACTGTTAGATTAGTTTATTTATGGCTTGAAATGATGCAACGTCTGTATTCGATGTTTGGAAGTGCTGGGTCTTTTATAATCGCAGCTGGAGACTTCTTGGTGGCAGACTAACGAGTTAAAGCATTTTCTAGAGGAAAAAAGTTTAGCATGATTGTTTTAGCCTTTGATCGAGTTTCAGGTCCCGTTTGGTAGGAATTTTTTGTCTCAAAAAATTAATTTTTTGATCGTTTTTTTAGTATTTAAACCGTAATTTTTGACTTCTTCTTTCACATATGAACCCCACTTTTCTTCTAACGGTCAAAAAAACAATTCTCAAAATCCCTACCAAACGGCCCTCAATCTTTAGAAAAAATGTATTTTTCAATAATATTTTAATATCATTTCAATTACACATTTTTTAATAAAACACTATTACACGTAAATTCAAAAAAAATTCTTCTTTTTAAACTATACATTTTCTATTAATACGCTATTCAAAAATTCATTTTCTCCCCCCTCATAATGGGGCTCAAACAAGAGCTTAATTAAGATTTCACAATATTTTGCGATATTAATATAAACTTTAAATAGTTTTTAAAAATTGTGAATTATTAAATCAATATTTTTTAAAAGTCTTAAAAGGTCACTTAGTATTCAAAATTTCTATAATTTTTAATTTTATATAAAATCCTCCACGTAGTAATTTTTAAGTAGAAAGTACTACAAAATTGCATAAGAATTCTCTCAATTCAACCATAATATTTTGAAAGACTTTCACAAAAAAAAAAAAAAATGGTATATTCATCTATAATATTCTGCTTTTATCTTTAGTTTGAGGGAAAAGGAACAACATCCAATACCATGCTACAAAAGTTCAATAATTTTCATTTTTCTTTTTCTTCAAAATGTTATTAGGATTATTCTGTTTTTAATACTCTCATTTTTTTTTTTTGTCTATTTTCTTTTTCAACGTTTTGACAATTTTTAATAATAAATCAATTTATAAATTAAAAATTTTTAAATCGATAGAGAAATATCAGTTTTTAATTAATTTTTATATAATGATTGCTTGTTTAATTTATTAACTTTGTACATCTTTAAATATATTCATAAAATATATCGAAAAATTGGAGGAAACCATGAAAAAGAAGATATTGAAAATTTTTATAAACTAAATGTGTGCGCGAGTTTATGACTTACATTTTTCATATTCTTTTAAAAATATATTTTATTTACATGGAACCTAAAATTTTATTACAGTGTGTTGTGAATCATTTGTTCATATAAGTAACGGTTCACAAGGATGTACATTAAGTTATATAAAATATATTTTTCTAAAATGAAAGTTTATAAGATTTAAACGAATTCTATAAAAGTTTTAAAGCAAAACTCTACTAGAGTCTGCAAAAACTTTCATTGATTCTATAAAAAGTCAATAAAAGTTTATTAAACTGTACAAAAATTATTTACTTATAATTAAAGTAAACAGTCTTTAAAAATTCAAATTAATTTCATCTTCTTAGTTGTTTCTTAAAGTTGAAATGGTATATATAGAGAAAATTTATAGAATTCTCTGGAGCAAATAATCTTGATTCCCATTTTTGAAATCTGACTAATTGAATCTCTTTAGATTATTGAGGTCACAAATTGAAAGTTGTCGACACTGTATAATAGATATTTTGAAGGCAACAGTCAGAAACTAAGATTTGATCTTCCTATTTTTGAATTTACAAAATAGTGTTGAAGCTCCAACTATGAGTTGTTGTGACGGAAATTGAATGTGATTGTGACTTGTTTCAATAACTAATATGTCACAATTTACTATATCCTACATGATCTTCTACTAATATGTGCATTTGTATTGGTCATGTTTACTCCATGCATTATTGTATTATTGTTTACATTTACATATTGGATGAATTGATATTGACACCACATGGTCACAAACTATTCAAATTCAATATACTGCAACTTTGTTTTATGTTTTGTGATGGTTTACACAGTTCATAAAATTGGTCACAGTCACAGATTGTGGCTTCTTAGTTTATGCATATCTCTGTGACCTAATATTTACAGTATATAATCTCTTAATTCAAATACAATAAACATCCTTGTGACCAGTACTATCCATTCTATGATATGTAGTCCACAATAGTTCAAAGCTTATTAGTGCATGTAAGTATGTGTGGTTTGAACTATCTCTACAAAGCCTGATATTTATAGTAATTAATCTCTAAGTGCAAATTCTGTATAACATCCATCTGACCAGTAGTGTCCATTCTGTAACTTATAGTTAAAAGCTATGACCTATACCTAAACCCCGTGACTTGTGAGTATGTCTACAATTGTTTAAAGCTTATTAGTGCATGCATGTCTTAATGTACAGTACTTAATCTCTTAATGCAAATACTATAGAACATTCGTTTGACTATGACCTTTAATTAAAATCTTTTACCTGTATCTAATCAGATTGTGATATTATGTCTACAAAAATTTTAATTGTGACTTGTAATGGTAGTTGTGATTGACATTTTTTTTGCATACATTTGTATAAATGGGTTTTGTTCATGTGTTGTCTGTTGAATGGATTACATATTAGTGTTATTTGATCATAATTATAGTTATATGAAGCTTGTGGACACCGTTATGATCGAGTTTGATTTGGATCTAGGGATGTCAATTGGGTCGAGCCGGCTCGCTGCTCGCCGGCTCGGCTCTTGAAAAAGAGGCTCGTGGCCGGTTTGGGCTTGTGAAATCACGAGCCGAGCAAACGAGCCAGTGACCGTTATGGTCACTAAATAAAATTCATTGACCAGAACGGTCACTGAATTTTATTTTATTTTTTTTATTTGCCCCCCCCCCCCCCGCCCTTTTTTCTATTATAAATACCCCCTTCCCCCAAAGGTTTTTTTTGTCATATCAATTGCTCTTCCAAGATTACAACTCTCTTTTATTATACCAATTATCGAGTTTTTACTCTCTTATGCTGTAAAATATACAATATCAATTCAATTTTTACAGTTTATTAGTTACAATTTCAATTCATCCAATTATCACAATCTCACTACATTTATATTCATCTAATCAAGATTTCATCATAAACAATTACAGAAATGGATCAACGTTCATTTATTGAGAGCTTGTTCGATACAGGATGTGAGCCGCATCATGGAGAATCTTCTAGGATGCCGCAAAGTCAATTTCCAAATGAATTTGCTGGTCTAAATGACATACCGATACCTGAAGATGTTCACATTCACGGTCAGGGAAGCCACAATCCAATTGATTTGGATGATATTAACGTTCCCGAAGCGGAACATGAACATGAAGATCAGCAATTAAATATCCCAGATGCGAGGGGAAAGCGAAAGGCCAAAAAACAAGCAAAATGTTGGGATCACTTTAAGTTGATTTCAACGGGAAAAGTCGTTGATGGTCTTGCAGAATCTAAAGCAGTATGTAAATACTACCAACAAAGATTGGCATGGCAAAAATGAATTGGTACCACTCATCTCAACTGCTACTACAAATCATGTGCAGCCAGACATGGACTTCTTCCAACTGGTCAAACACAAATGCAATTTGACAGTCCAGGCGTCGGTTCTACAACTTCACCCCTATCCACGTGGGTGTATTCGGAGGACGATACTCGAACCGGAATGGTGAAATTTGTTGCCGCCACTGAGTTGCCTCTGGCTATTGCAAACAACCAACACTTCATCTCGTTCGTGAAAGAATATCTACAACCGAGGTACGTTGGGGTAAGTCGAAATACTCTTCGTGCCGATACAATAAATTATTTCAATAATTTAAAATAACAATTAATTATTGATTTGCAACAATATGGGGTGTTATATCCTTAACTTCTGATATATGGGAAGGGGTTAATAAAAGAGCATATATAGCTGCAATCGCACACTATATAGACCCACTTTGGTGCATGCATAAGAAAATTATTGCTTTTAGAATTATTGAATTTCCTCACAATGCTAATAATACATATAATGTTATTATCAGTATTGTTAGAGAGTATCATTATGAGACTAAAATTCGATCTTTTACTTTTGATAATGCTAGTGTTAATAAGGTAGTCGTCGATAAATTGTGTATGACACTTCAACCTGATTTTGGTGGGTATTTGTTTCATATTCGTTATGTGTGTCATATCTTGAATTTAATTGTGCAAGATGGTTTAAAACATATAAAGGATGAATTTCAAAGGATTAGAAATGCATTAATATATATTACGATTTCTCCTAGTAGAAAACAAGCATTTGAAGATTTTTGTGCCGAATTAGGGGTGATGACTGCTAAAACATTTGTTAGTGACGTAGGTCATAGATGGAACTCTACATACTTGCTATTAAAATCATGTGAATGTTTCGAAAATTTAATAACTGACTTTTATAACAATAGACATGTTAGAAGTGATGACGATGATATGTTAAATGAATCCGATTGGATTTTAGTTTTGAAAGTTAAACAATTTTTGACATCTTTTTATGAAATCACAAATATTTTATCCGGTGTTTATTATCCCACAAGTTATATGGTGCTTAAACGCCTTTATATAATTGCAAGAACATTCCATAAATATAAAAATGATCCTGCTTTTAGTGAAATTTTAATTGCTATAGAATTAAAGTCTAGAAAATATTGGGAAGAACTGCCTATGTTATTTCCTTTAGCATGCGCAATGGACCCCCGATATAATATTTCGGGAACTAAATACGTAATTGATCAAATCAATAAATCTTTAATACTTGATACACCTATCACCTAGAGCAAACATTATGTGGAATGTATGATTTATAGGCGGAAAGAATGGGTGCGAATGTTAGTCGGTTACCCTCTACTGAACCTACTCCTTCTGCTGAAACTAAAGAAGATGCTGTGAAAATAATGAATTTATTTAAGGGCAATAATACATTTAGATATGATGCAACTGCAATGTGTTCATCTAGTACCATGTCGTCTACATCTGCATCTCACCAAACATCGGTCGTAACTCAAAATGCGATGCCTGTCGAATTAATTGATTATTTCAATCATAATATGCCAACAGACAGAACAATTAAAAAACTTCAGAAAAAGTAATTGAATTCTGGCGAAAGTATAAAAGACGTTAGCCAATTGTTTCTACAATTGC